GTGTGTGTGTGTGTGTGTGTGTGTGAGAGAGAGTGAGTGTGTGTGTGTGTGAGAGAGAGAGAGTGTGTGTGTGTGTGTGTGTGTGTGCGTGTGTGAGAGTTCGTTCTTTTTTTTTTTTTCTCTATCTCTATCTCTTCTCTATACTCCTAAAGCAAGCAAAGGGCCCAGCGTGACGCGTCCCGCCGGGCCCAGCGAAAATCGGACTGGAGGGTCACGGGATTTGGGCCAGGAAAGCGGGCACGACGTTTCGTGGAGGCCCGGGGCAAGGGAATAAAGGCGCGGCGTTTCGCGGTGGTACCGCAGGCCTGACAAAGACCGCGGCGCGTGGGATTTGGCCGTGGCGGTTCGTTGAGGCCCTGAGCAAGGGAAAAAGGGTGGGCCAAGGGGAGAAGGGTGCTGCAGGCCATGGTGTGAAAGTGCGGCGCGTGTGCGGGCCTGCGGACTTTTTTGCGTGGGTGCGGGGTGGCACGCATGCTACTATTCGGGCGCCGTCGGAGAGTGGGAGGAGGAGGTCGTGCGAGGGGGAGGAGGAGGTTGTGCAAGCGGGAGGAGGAGGTTGTGCAAGCGGGAGGAGGAGGTCGGAAGAGGGAAGAACGACATCGCACAAGGGGGAGGAGGTAGGAAGAGAGATTGGAGGAGGTGGCACAAGGGGGAGGAGGAGGTCGTGCGAGGGGAAGCGGACGTCGCGCAAGGGGGAGGAGGTCGGAATAGAGGTGGGAGGAGGTCGTGCGAGGTGGATGAGGAGGGGGAAGATGACGCGTGAATGGAGGAGGAGGTCGCACAAGGATTAGGAGGTCACATGAGGGGAGGAGGGTCGGAAGAGAGGGAGGAAGTCGCACGAGGGGGAGGAGGGGGTGGCGCGAGGGGTAGGAGGAGGTCACGCGAGGGGGAGGAGGAGGTCGCACAGAGGTTGCGTTAGGGGGAGGATGAGATCGGAAGACGGAGTGGGAGGGGGAGGAGCAGTTCGCACAAGGACAAGCAAGAGGTTCCACAAAGGGGAAGAGGAGGTGGCACAAGGGAGAGGAGGAGGTCGGAAGAGGGGGAGGAGCAGGTCGCACGAGGAGGACGAGAGGTTGCAGCGGAGGTCGCAAGGGAGGTTGAGTCGGAGAGTGGGAGGAGGAGGTCGTGCGAGGGGGAGGAGGAGGTCGTGCGAGGGGGAGGAGGAGGTTGTGCAAGCGGGAGGAGGAGGTTGTGCAAGCGGGAGGAGGAGGTCGGAAGAGGGGAAGAACGACATCGCACAAGGGGGAGGAGGTAGGAAGAGAGATTGGAGGAGGTGGCACGAGGGGGAGGAGGAGGTCGCACAAGGAGGAGGTCGTGCGCGGGGAAGCGGACGTCGCGCAGGGGGGAGGAGGTCGTGCGAGGTGGATGAGGAGGGGGAAGATGACGCGTGAATGGAGGAGGAGGTCGCACAAGGATTAGGAGGTCGCACGAGGGGAGGAGGGTCGGAAGAGAGGGAGAAAGTCGCACGAGGGGGAGGAGGGGGTGGCGCGAGGGGTAGGAAGAGGTCACGCGAGGGGGAGGAGGAGGTCGCACGGAGGTTGCGTTAAGGGGAGGATGACATCGGAAGACGGAGTGGGAGGGGGAGGAGCAGTTCACACAAGGACAAGCAAGAGGTTGCACAAAGGGGAGGAGGAGGTGGCACAAGGGAGAGGAGGAGGTCGGAAGAGGGGGAGGAGCAGCTCGCACGAGGAGGACGAGAGGTTGCAGCTGAGGTCGCAAGGGAGGTTGGAGGAGGTCACGCGAGTGGTTTGAGGAGGCCGGACGAGGACACATGAGTGGGAGGAGGAGGTGGCGTAAGGAGGAGGAGCTGGATGAGGTCGGCAGAGAGGTGTGAGAAGGTCGCGCGAGGGGGAGGAGGACGCCGTGCAAGGGTAGGAGCCGGTCACACGCTGGGGAAGAGAGGTTGCAAGAGGTCATGCGGCAGGGGAAGGAGGAGGTCGTGCTAGGGGGAGGATTTCGTGCGAGCGGGAGGGGGTCGTGAGGGAGGACGACGACGTCGCGATAGGGGGAGGAGGTTGCACAAGGGGGGGTGCACGGACCCCCACACGCGAGAGAGAGAGAGGGGCGTGCACGCTCGCGCGCGCGCGCGAGAGAGAGAGAGAGAGAGAGAGAGAGAGAGAGAGAGAGAGAGAGAGAGAGAGAGGACTGCCAGATCTTCCTCCAAATGTCGAGAAGATGCCGTTGGCCTTTTTTGGGGGGGTGGTAATTGGCCAAATACCCCCATAAGTTGGGATATATGTCAAAATGTCCCTGAAAATTGAGCGTTTTTTTTGCAATTGCACGCACCAAAAGTTGGCAACTACTGGGGCATTTTGCAAAGTTGGACGGTGTCTGGTAGGGTACATTGCAAAGATGGGGTTCAACCGATGTCTGGGGTGTTTTGCAAAATGTTTTTGCTGTCGTCCTTGACCGCAGCGTAGCTGTGGGGGGTCCACTTGTCTCACAAGAATCAACAAAAGTTCATCATCATCATCATTATCATCATCATCATATGAGGGATGCTGAGCCCGGTTCTCAGCATGTTCATTTCGGCCACTCCGGGTAGACTGTGAGGACCCCGGCCTCAATCTTCTTATTGATAATATCAGCCTTGGGCACTGGGCCCGTTTAAGAAAATAAATTAATTAATTAAAAAAAAAAAAGGGGAAGGAAAGGCATGCCAGATGGAAGGAAGCCCCTTTTTCTCTCATTTGTTTTGCAAGATGGAATGAAGCCTTGTATTTACTTTTGCCAGATCTTTCGTTGTCTCCGTCTTTCCTGTTCCAGCTGGACCCTCCGGCGCACCCCCCAGATTGAGATGCAGGGCTCCCATAAGGGTACGATAGCATCTATCTGTCAGTGGAGTGATGACAAGCCGTGTGGTGTTTCCCAAGTACTCGTACCCATAGTTCCTTGCTGCATTTATCATCCGGACCACCACCTGCATTGAACATGTCACGCACAAATTACAGAACAGAAAAATCAGTAATCATATGAATCTGATATGATAATAATTTAACAAACGATGATGAATTTGTCATCGATCTCGATATGGATCCATTGACAAAGATAGGACGCTGGACCCGATTTCCAGCTCCTACACATGACATCATCGTCAAGGGACGCTGGACCCGATTTCCAGCAGGTGCAGCTCCCCACCAATAGATGGAGCCTTCAACGATGTGGCCTACTTAACGGGGCTGCTCGTATCACTTCGTTAAGTAGATTTTCCCACATACGAAGTTCAAAAAAAAAAAAAAAAAAGGACATAAATGATGAAAAATAAAACCAGCAGTATGACCCCTCTGCTTCGGAACTTGTGGCCATATACAAGGGGGACGCCCTTTTCTTTATTCTTTCTGAAAAGAAAACAACACTTTTTGGCAGTCCCTACATCCTGCCAGAGATAGGTGCCCTGGCTCGATGGAGGGGGCCCCATTGTGATGGCTCCAATCTATTCATGGGGAGAGGCACGTGCCAAAAATTGGGCCTGGAGTCCCTGCATATCCAGAATGATGGGAAACCGGGCCATCAGCCCATCCATGAGGGCAAGCCTATTTAGTCCATTTGAATGTACGATACTCGAAGACAACCATGTGGGCCAATTTCTGCTTGGGGGCTATATCATGTCTCTTTCCCTCTGGCCCTCTTCCCGGGCTTACCTTGACCGGCCTGGTGGTGTCGGTTTTCATTTGTTCAGGTGCATTCTTTGCTCGACATGCTTCACATACGCACACACAAACGTGTGTATCATTCAACGTGACATTCCTTGGCACATCCTTTTTTTTTTTTTTTTTTTTTTTTCCGGAACATCTTCGCAGGGCTGACCATTGGATCTGCAATGGCTGACCAGTGACCAACAAACATTGGTCAATCCCAGCGCCCCCCCGCAACAGAAGAGACGACACGCCCGCCGCCACAGCCAAAGTAGACCTCAGAGCCGATCCCCTCTGGACCAACATGCTGCATCTATGGAGAGAACGAGGACCGAACCAAAAACCGGTGCTGCTTAGATGGGACGAAATATGGAGACCACCTCTGTTTGGGAACTCATGCATATTAGATCACATGGGCACCAAACGGGTTCCTAATGGCTCCCCTGGGTGAGGAAAGGGATTTACACCGTTGGTGATTTGTGGACTATTCAAGCAAGCACGTGGCTATCGGTCCAGGACCTTCGACAAAAGCTTGACCACATTAGAAAGCTGGGGGAGGCACTGCAAGAGATCCAAGACGCTGTTCCCCTCGCATGGGTTCTGGAACTTATGAGAGGCCCGACATTAAGGCAAGGGGACTGGAAGCCTCTCCCTAGGTGTTAGTGGTGTCTGCTCTTATCAGCAGCACTAACATTGGCGGGGGCATTTAAAAAAAAAAAAAAAAAAAAAGGCAAGGGGACTGGGTGGTGCGGCCAGAGGACTGGCCGATCCCCATGGCAGTTTACACGGTAGAGGAAGTTAACTCACACGAGGCGAGGCTTAACGCATACACACCACACCTCCCAAGAGATAACGGTCCAAATTGGGCCGTCATGAAGACCTGGACTGTCGCGTACCCGCCGTGGGACTTGTCAGAATATGTGTGATTAGTGACAATAACAATGGACTCTTTCTCTATGAGCCGACCACCCCCCTATGCCAGCTGCCATTCGACCCACAAGAATGGGAATGGGACATGGGAGGATCTCATAAGCTCCAAATCTGGCAGTACACAGTTGAAGATGGGTACCAAATAGCGAGGGAACCAGCAAACATATTCGAATCGATGGGCTAGAGACTATCCCCTCAACTTAGAAGATCTAAACACACTCAGATGGGCCACCTACTCGGTTACACGCCCTACCAACCCGCGTGCGTTACAATGGCAGATTATTCACAGGTGCCTACCTACCCCGGACTGGATTGTGTCCAGAACAAATTTGGAGGCCAGGGGAGTGTTGCCTCCGCTCTGTACTTACTGTGGTGGGACCTCCCCCAAGAAACGAGCTACACTCGAACATTGCCTAATGGACTGCGCCATGGTGGCTCAGCTTTGGCAATGGTGGAACGCAGCACGGCATCATCTAACGGGCATCCACTTCCCATGGGACCTCAAGACTATTCTTTTGGGGAAACGCCCCCACACGCGGCCAGGTGGACAGTGGACACCCTTCAGCCTCAACCTGCTGAAAGTAACACGGCGGCCACTGCTCATGGCTGCATGGCGAATGAGATGTGTGCCACAGGCAGCACACATATGGCTATATGGAGGCTCGAGCCTCGATTCTAGAAACAATGACTGTCAACACACATGCGGCTTGGCAAGAGCTCAGGAATATGCTACGAAAGGAATCAGATACAATCAAACGGAATGAACTCTCTGATAATTTTCGGTCTGTCTGGGTGGATACTGCACAGAGACTCTGCAAATTGGATCAACACAACCAACTGCGATGGAAGCAGCGGTTGTTGACAGAACCACAATGGGAACATCGACCGACAAGCCACTTCCAATTCCCATTCCAATCAACCAACTTCATCCTAATCCTGGGTTGACAAGGCACAACACACTCCTGGCTCCTGCCCCCCCACCCCATACCCCTCCTCCTCCTCCTGAACCCCCTAAGGCCCACCCCCCTTAACCCTGTCCCCCTACCCTCCCTCCCCGCCTGCACACCAGTCCTTTCGCAGAAGGCCGGCCAACCAGGGACCTCCCAGGAGAGCAGCAGCGGAGGAGGTGACTACTCGGAGACAGAAGATGCAGTCAGCACCCAAGTCATGATAATGGACCTGGCAATGTATATTGGACTGTGGACAATAGACGGATCCCTACTGCCAGGTGACTGGGTCGGTGGGAACAGGTGCATTCTTGGGAGGGTAGATGCAGTTCTGGGTGGGTAGGAATCGCGGGTGGCCAACGCTGACCCTCACAGTTACACCAACACACTAACACACACCGTCAGAGCACAGCACAGGCATGTAGCCCAGGTATCAGGTGGAATGCTGTAATTAGGGCTTAAGGGTTTAAGGGTTCAAGAGCTAAAAGACCTGGCAATAGGTGGAATGACGGCCAACAGATTTTAAAGATCTAACGGTTTCACTGGAGGACGGTCAGAAGCAGGGGGCATGAACTGGGTGAACTGGGTGGTGGAAGACAAAAGTGCAGTCTGGACAATGAGGAGGGACTATTAACGCTTTGTCTGATTGGACCTGCCTGTTAAATAACTGACTCGTATACAGGCATATACCACAGAACACACACTCTCGAACATACTCAGCCACATCTTATACAGCACATCGTACTAGAGAACAAACAATACACCCAGGATTATCCTCAACTACACCTCACACGGTATAAGCCATTGTGCGTTGGCACAAGTACAGTTACCGATAGTTATAGACATAACAGAATAAGTCAACAAGTATATAGATGATAACTGACAGTCGGTACACTATAGTAAGGCCGGGCTCCCTACCGCCCAGCCCCCTCTCGCATTTTGACAACTCTTGCTTGCATGTTTTCATTTCCTCACATCGTACATTACAGGGACGCTGGACCCGATTTCCAGCAGGTGCTGCTCCCCACCAATAGATGGAGCCTCCCCGAAGGTCCTGATGGTGTCTGCTCTTATCAGCACCTCCAGCAACTGCTCGGGTTGTTTAAGCTTAAAAAAAAAAAGAAAAAAAAAAANAAAAAAAAAAGAAAAAAAAAAACAAGAAAAAAAAAAAAGAAAAAAAAAAGAAAAGAAAAAACAACAACAACAACAACAACAACAACAACAACAACAACAACAAGAAGAAGATACGAGCACTCTCCACGGGAGCGCTCCCCAAGTTGTGATGGTTCCAATCTATTGGTGGGGAGGTGCACCTGCTGGAAAAAAAACAGGTCCATCCTTCGACAAGAACAACCTGGCCCAAGTACAAAATGAAGAACAGCACTCCCTACCTCACCAGACTGCTGTCCCCCATTAAACCACTAGCACTTGGCCCAGCTATTGGCCGTGGAAAAAATAGAGTAGAAACGTTTCTGGTCAGATGAAATTTGGGCGCTCCTGTAGTGGCCCTCAAATAGTGGCTTGTATACGGCCACGACTTCAGGAAGTACTGGTGGTTTTAAACCGAATGTACACGGCCCCAGCCTCGCAGAAAGTTTTTGTCGCCACAAGCAAAACCCGGAGGGGCCGCGCGGCGTGGGGCGCCATTGAAAAAAAAAACGGCGGCCTCCAAAGTGGTGCGGGTTTCGTGCTGACACCCACGGGCCGATGTGTGGTGTACTGGTGCTTTAAACCAACAGTACACCCAAGTCTGGCGGACTTGCACTCCACACCAAGCTTTGCCGAACCGCCATTCTTTCTTGGCTGGTGCTGCCAGCCATTGTGGTCCGGTAGGCCCGAGAGCCATGAAGTTTTTGAAGCTGGCTGGGGCCGTGTACCGCCAATTTTACACAACAAATTGGTTACGGACCTTCTATGCCCCTGCCACATAAAGAATTCTCACTAACTCGTTTACCTTACCCCAAAACCCTTTTTCTTTTTTTTCTCTTTTTCCAAACAGCCTCGGAGGCAGCTTCAAACCCCTTCTTTCTTTTTTTTTTTTTGTCAAAGCCAAGGCAGGGCTGCTGCAAGGGGGGGTAAGAGCACCACCTTGCAGTAGCGTCGCCTGGTGCTCCAATCTTATTGGTGGGGAGCCCTAGGATGAAGAATCTTGTTGTCTATCCATTTGTCTCGCTGGTTGCCACCTTACTACTACTCCATACGCTCAGACTCATCATCATCAGCTAGCTGAGGATAGCTGTTTACTTTGACCGTCCGATTATCTTCAGGGGAGCAATATGAAGAAGCACTCTTCAACACCATGTGTAGTGCATCCAAGATCTCTCTTATCTTGCCCACTATTTGTAGATGTTTTCTTTGGAACCACCAGTGCCTACCTCATTTTTCGTACACCCCGGCCTCAAATGATTTTGGACCGGACTCCGGAGGGGCAGGCCGATTCGGCTTCCGCGTGCGTTAATGGCCGCCCCAACCGGTAGGTACTGGTGGTTGAAGTATGCCCAAACAGTTCAATACAACATCGCGTATCTGGAGCTGAACAGCCACTACACCCTGAGCAAAACTCCGGTACCTGTTGATTTTTCTGGGACAATGTACTGGTCCCCGAGGCAGGGGGGGAGCGTAGGTGGCGATCTGCTCTCAGATGGAATGGCACCCACAATTTTGCATGTCTTGCAGCATTGTCGTTTTTTTTTGTCTTTTTTTTAAAAAAGAGCCCAACCAATTCAAATACCTGTCGAATCTGGACAGGACGGCCTTTCAGGCCTTTTTATTGTCATTTTAGTATTACGGGGAACCCCGTAGCAGCCACATCCGTGTTCAAGCCTCCAACGAGGGAACATCCGGGAGCTGCACCCACCAGCAGGTGCAATACCTGCTACAGCAGGTGGGCGATACCGGCCAGGGGTCAGCCGGTAGCATCAGGGGAGGAGACCAGAGGGGACGCACAGTGACTAACCCATCAAAGAAGAATTGTCTATTCTCGTGATCCACTGCCCCTTTTTTAGTCGCCGAGCGTTTGGCTCCGTCTTGACCTAGTACTATGTACTAGTGTTCACCCTCTGCCCGGAACTGTACCCTACCTACCCACAACCCCTTGTATACAATAGTGCTCTTTGGAATGCAGCAGGCACAGTTAGTGGTTTAGATGAACAACACTGGTTATTGCTCTCCCTTCAGTATATCACAAAACTCATCGGTCTGCATCTATGCTTAAGGTGCCTTGTGTATATCAAGCTTTGTACTCACCCCCATGGATTCCAAAACTTTTTCATGCTATACAGCACACTGTTCAGATTTCTGCCTCGTCAAAAGGCAGGTAGACCAGACTATTCAGATTCGAGCGTTGTTCATTGTCCAAGGACAGTTTGCTGACTTTCTAGGGGCTAGACATATTCAGCCCAAGTTTAGACTGGGCTAGGCCCCTGATGCAGGTTCAAGTTCGCTAGTATTACCTAGTTGCATAGGTGGGTAGGTATGCAGGAGAGAGAGAGAGAGAGAGAGAGAGAGAGAGAGAGAGAGAGAGAGAGAGAGAGAGAGAGAGAGAGAGAGAGAGGTTGTACTCAAAGGACTTTTTTGAACAGGTTGAGCTTTGATCAGTCTGACTTCTTGGATTCGACTATAATGAAAGGGAAAAAAAAATAAAAAAGGCGACGGCCTTGAGATATTGTCATCATTGAATTGACCAGCCCCAGGTAATTCAGAACAATTTTACTTCGGTCATTCGGTCGCATCTGGATTCGAACTCGGTTCTGTATTTCACAATTTCAACAGGCACCAACTCAACTGAGCTAGGCCCGTTGGTGATTCGACGATAAATTAATAATGCTTCATTACCATTTATTGTTTTTGAATTTTCACTTCTTTCACCATGCATTGGCTCTTTTTATCTCCTTGGAGGCTTTCGGTCCTGTTTGCCTCTGTTCTGCTAGGATAGAAGAACATTAAGAGTTTATAGCACAACGGTTTCAAACTTCAAAGGTTGTCTGGTTTGTCGCTCTCAATTCAAAAAGTAGAGAAAACCAAAACTAGAGTGACACTCTGTATGATGAACCAGACACACACACACACTCTTTGAAAAGAACGAGGAATCTGATCCTTTCAAAGAAGGAAAATGTGGAGAGTAAGCACAGAGACGAGGGCGATAACACGACAAAGAAGAAAAAGGAATAGCAGGAGGAGGATGTGGAACATGGCAATGGAGGAGGAGGAGAAGAAGAAGAAGAAGAAGAAGAAGAAGAAGAAGAAGAAGAAAAAGAAGAAGAAGAAGAAGAAGGGTGCAAAGAAGAAGACGAAGACGAAGACGACGACGACGACGACGACGACGACGAAGAAGAAGAAGAAGAAGAAGAAGAAGAAGAAGAAGAAGAAGAAGAAGAAGAAGAAGAAGAAGAAAGAAGAAAGAAGGAGGTGGAATATGACAATGGAGAAGAAGAAGAAGAAGAAGAAGAAGAAGAAGAAGAAGAAGAAGAAGAAGAAGAAGAAGAAGAAGAAGAAGAAGAAGAAGAGTACAAAGAGTACAAAGAAGAAGAAGAAGAAGANAAGAAGAAGAAGAAGAAGAAGAAGAAGAAGAAGAAGAAGAAGAAGAAGAAGAAGAGTACAAAGAGTACAAAGAAGAAGAAGAAGAAGAAGAAGAAGAAGAAGAAGAAGAAGAAGAAGAAGAAGAAGAAGAAAGAAGAAGAAAGAAGAAGAGAAGAAGAGAAGAAGAAAGAAGAAGAGAAAAGAATGCATTAAGGACAACGTACCAGTCCATCCTCCATTTCATACCGCATTTGGCTAAGCCATTCAAAATCCGTCTCCTTGGAGACCCCTTTCTCCTTCAGTTCAGTCACTACATCTCTTGCATGTACATCTATGACGACAAGGGCGCTTATAGTCAATCTCTCCATCGTGCTCAGTGCTCCCCTCACCTGCAGGAAACCTCAGGAAGCAAACATAACAGGCAAGTAAGTCGTGAAGAACAGAACCAATGAATGCAACATATGTCATTTTCTACCAATCAGACTGTAATGTGATAGGCCAAGTCTCCTTGTGATGCCCCCCCAGTGGGACTAAGGACAGCCCTCCCAACTAGCCGAATCCAGGTGATGGCCCTGGCAGTCCTACTTTCTTGTCTCTTATATTGATTCTCTATGGAAAGGTGGGACCAGTTCCAGCACGTGTGTTGCTCCCCACTAACAGACCGGAGCCATCTGCAAGCTCATACTGTTAGGGGATGCTGGTACCACCTCCCACAGTCCAGCCACTGGCAGCCACTGGATGGAAAGAAAAAGAAAACAACTTTCATAAGGGACACTGGGTCCCTTTCACGGCACATGCTGCTCCCCATGGATAGACTGGAGCTGTGTTTCTCCCCCCTCCCCAAAAAAAAGTGATGTCTGATACAGTCCCGCGATGATTGGCTTCGCACCACAGCGATGGCAGACCCGGGCACCAGACCAGACACCAGACTGGTCAAGATCCAGACACCAGACTGGTCAAGATCCAGATACCAGAATGGAGAATTGTCCACTAACATCCAGACATCCCGATCTCATTGGGATAAAGGCAAGTATCTGCACTGCCCTGAGACCGGAAACATCCAGACATGATTCTCCCATTTGATTGCTAGAGCTTGTTCGTATTCACAGCCAGCCATTGTTTGTAGTACTTTGTCCTCTTAGGATGGCAATTCTACACGACATTCCATTCCTCCCCCCTCTCCCCTCCGGGGATGCCGTATGCTCACCATACGGTGCTCAACATACGGTGTCCCTGGGATGTAATATCCTCATTCAAGGAATATCTCAAATTTGGCCCAAATGCGTGTAAAAATAAAATCTCCATTTCATCACACGAATTCTTTTCGAATCAACTTTAGCAAACAGTCCTCTGAATTGAAAACTCCAATTTCTGGACATAACACTTACAAGACATGATTAATACAATTTTCTGATGCGTTCGAAAAACCCACACACACAAAAAAAAAAAAAAAAAAAAAAAAAAAAAAAAACCTCATTTATTACATCTGAATGGGCTTTTTGCGCCACCCTCGAAAATCCCATTCAGATTTAATAAATGAGCCCCAAGGGATCCATCCTGAGTTATACGGACAGTCCTCAGCACATTCCAGTCCTCCTTTTTGGGTCCCAGGGTAAGGAATGCTGGCAGGCCCGATGCTTATATTCCTCAGAAAATCTCAGAAAAAAACTGTTGTATATAGGATGCTGGACCGGGTTCCAGCAGGTGATACACCCCTCCAATAGATGGAGTCTCCCTTGGGGTGCTACCAGTGATTGCCTTTATCAACACCGCTAGCACCCACAAGAGATTTTGAAAAAAAAAAACAATAAAAAAGAGGAGTTATAAAGACAGTCAGCAGCACCATTCAGTTTTTCAATCCCATTCACGCCTCGCGCATCCCCTCACGAGCCGGTTACTGGTGAGCCGGCAGAAACACGTGTCGGGTGTTTCGCCAGCGATTTCATCGTTCATGGTGGCATCCTTGTGGTGTCATCTACTTTCTTTGTATGTTGGCTCTTAGGGCCTCGCCACACCACTGTCGAAAATGTGATTTTCGATAGTTTCTTTTCACCACACAGCCTGGCAAAATTGGAGACGGGAAGAACATTTGCAAGTAAGTTGTCAGAGAATGCTTCTCGACACCTCCTGTCAAAAGTTGTTGAATCCCCAGTCTGCTACTCCCATGCTTTCGACAGTCCTCGGCTGCGCCATCGACTTCTCTTCAAAATTTGGTGAGTGGGGGTAAGATCGGGATGGACTAATGCTTGTCGTACCCTCAGGCGCGTTCGCCTTTTTTCCATCTTGCTTTCACAAGTGCGTGCACTCTACAGTGCTGGGTGGCTAAAGGGGGGCTAAGTGTCGAATGGAGGCTGTCGGATTTGTTCTGACAGCCGTTGAATTTTTTTGCCTTTCGACAGTGGTGTGGCGAAGCCCTTGATACATGTTATATCCTAAGAGCCGTCGCGCTCGGGGTTCACTACCTCGTCTTGTCTCTCTCCTATTCCGTTCTTCTGTGTGATGCATGTATCTCAATGATCAGCTTTGTCGCTTTTACTACGTGTCGTTCATGCTTTGTCGCATTTACTACTTTTACTACTAACCAAGGAGTTATACTGACAGTCAGCAGGACCATTCACTCATCATTCAGTCAAGCCCTTTGGTTCTTTTTCTTTCTTTTTCTTTTTTTTTTGGTGGGGGGGGACAATGCTCCAATCTATTCGTGGGGAGCATTCTTCTCTTCTTGGTTCAATAAATAAATTAATTAATTAAAAAAAAAAAGACGCATTGATTGATCCAGGATGTCCCTACTCCAGTCCAACAAAGACTCCACATTGTCTGGAGGACCAATTGGAAGTCTGCATCAAAACTGTACCTAGAACCCATTCATGAGATGGGTAGGGTAGGTGGCCTATCCTGTCAGGGAAACCATTGGCTGCCGCTGCCAGCAATCACCGCGGGTCTGGTACTTGGCCTCTACAACACCCTGGGCTTTTTAAAGGGAAAAAAAGAAAAGAAAAAGAAGAAGAAGAAGAAGAAGAAGAAGAAGAAGAGAGGGAAAGGGGGTCAAAACCCCCCAAAAATGGTCAGAGTACCCCTGGTGCAGAAAATTTGATTTTTATTTATTCATTTATTATTATTATTATTATTATTTTAAACAACCCGTTTCAGTGCTAGGGGTGCTGATAAGAACAGACACCGCTAGCACTTCCGGGGGGCTCCATCTATTAGTGGGGAGCTTCCCCAGCTGGAAATCGGGTCCAGCGTCCCAATACATTTGATGAAGAGTAAGCATTCCATGGGTATGTGTATGTCTGATCTACTTTGTACCGGCTGAGCAACACATCTGATGGAGGGTAAGCATTCCATGAGTATGTGTATGTTTATGTTTAATCTACTTTGTACCGACTGAGCAATGATCTGCCCTGGGTTCCGACCGTGTTTCTAACAACCCAGAGTAGATATACTGTATAAGTGCTGAGTAAGTGTACGGTTAACTGTAGTAACTGTATGAGTGCTGGTATAGTCATGGTGTTGCATACTGTAACGTGCAGACCAGAACAAGAACCGACCTTTCAATACAAAGTATAAGATAGCACAACGGAAGACTTAGATACCAGTGATCCGAACAATCAATGTTGTAATGCAGTCCTGAACATACATCATCATCATCGTTACATGGTGTGAATGGGCCTGGCGCTTCACACAGGAAGACAGCGCCAGCCCGTACCATACACAGACGAAGAGGAAGGGGATAGACGAAGAGGAGGGGGAAGATGGGAATGTCGTCAACACCAAGTCTTCGGCACAAGCCCAAATAGT